CTCAGCCCACCAACGGCTGACGCAGTGGGCTGCGGTGACCTCTCCGTCTCCCTCCGTGATCCAGGCCGTTCTCCTGCCCTCAGCTCAGCACCCACGTGTTGTCAGCAGCTCCTGTTACGTAAGCGCTCCTGCCAGACAAAAGCTCAGCCATCCCTGATACAAATCACTGGCTGGCCCATGTTGGCAGCAGCGATAGTACTGCTCAGTAATCCACGCAGGGTCTCTCTTGTTGAGAATGTTTTTTCCCTGGCTGCCAAATGGAAATTTTTGACAATGTAATAATAGATTTTGAGGGCATGAAATACAAGGTATTTGTTAGACGTCATGTTTTGTTGTTTTAAGCCCGCTATGACCTTAAAGGTGAACTCTGGCTTTGTAATTACCTTTGGGTGTCAAACTCTGGTGAAGTTTCACAGTGTGCGCCAACACCACAACAATTGATGAGCATTTGATGGATGCCATAAACTTATGGCCTCCCACACTTCCTCTTTCCCTTCAGGGTGTTCAGTGTCATAAACATTTTTATTGCGGTCTTAATGACTTTAATTTCCGCCATAATTTAATCCTGTGTTATCACTTTAGTTTTATTGTACAGCACCATTAAAAAGTTTTACAGTTAAGAAGTAACTGTGATCGAAACGGTTGATTCATGAGTGACCTGATGCGCTCAGATCTTATCCAGCACAGAATAAAAAATAAAATATGTGACTTTTATTATAGTGTAATGCGAGAAGACTTGGAGGACACAGACTGTCATTTTTACCAACTTGATCCTGGAAAAAAGTGTTTTTGAAGGAGGTGCCATTTGATGGTTTTAGTTTTACACATCAGCAGCAGCTAGGTTTCTATTAGTGTGCGAGAACATTCTGTCCACAGCCCTCTGTTTATCACCCTTCCACTTTTTTTTATATTTAATGGCTCTGAGTACTTTTTGCCTGTGCTGGGAGACTATACATCACATAATGGCACAGGATTATAAGAAAACACAGATTTACATCGTAACTAGACGACCTCTGTCCTCTGCTAAAGCCATCATAGTTGGTAAAACGTGTTGATGCTGCTGCTAAAGCCATCACTGTTTAGCCATCAGAACTTAAGGTGCAGCCTGTACATCTACTATGCTGTGGTATTGTCACAACTTAGTAGCTTCCTGTTTGTATGTTTTAATCTGCTTTCTCCTTTTTAAACGCTTTCATTTCTGTCATTATTATACCAGGGAAAAAAAAGAATTTGCCAGAAAGCTGCGATGATAATTTGAATAGTTCAGTTTTCTTGCAGTGGGTCTCACTTCATTTACAGCATGTCCCTGTCAGTGTAGTAGTTATAGTAGTTATGCTATATCATTTTTTTTTACTAATGCAATAAAATTGCCCTAATTTGTTTTGTTTTATAACAAAGGCTTGTTAGACAGTGACTCAAAACCTGTCGCAGTGATTCCCAGAGTGTCGGTCGTGGCTTCTGGTCGGCCACGAATGTGCTGTTGGTCAGAATACAGTCTAATCTACGTTTCTGTATCAGTTCAAATGAGATCTCCGCCTGTTTCGTTACACTGCGTGTATGTGGATCAGAAGATCTCACTTAACTGACAAACTGCAAGAATATTGGGAGGCCCTGCAGAGGAGACTGTCGAGCCGCTGACTTTGCAAAGAATGCTCTAGAAATACAGTGCTGCCTGAGAAAGTCTGTTTCTCCCCCGTGTGCCTGCGTGCCTTTAATAATGATAAAGAAACCGAGGGAGGCAGGGAAAGCGAGAGAACGGTGGAGAGGTGTAAGAAGAGTAAACTCGTGACTCATCAGGCACAATGGAAAAGAGTTCACTGAGTCAGATGAAGCAGGAACACTAGGTGGTGGATGAGCCATGAGACTGATGGGAATAGATGACTGTAGGTATTTTATTTTGGGAGTCAGCAGTCACTATAATATATTATTTTGCTCATCAAACTAGTGATTTACAGGCATATAGAGTAACATTTAAAAAACAAACTATCTATAGTTACATTTTATTTCCTTTTTGAACCACATTGATCAGAAAAAAGGGTGGATAATAAGGCTAGGCCATGACAGATCCCTGCTAGTAGTTTGTACCTAAATCACTACTTCATTCCTCCTCCTCATGCTGCTTATCAATAAAATGGAAGTAAAGTGAATAAAAACTCTGCACCACACTACAGTGGATAACAGCATAATTCCCACTTCCTCTTAGTGGTAATTTTTCTTCTTCTGTTACGCATATTCTAGATGATACTGAAATATAATTGAGTGTATTATGACTGTATTATAAGAAAATATATAAAAGAGAAATTGTTTGCCAAATGTTTGGCAAAGACGGATGGAAGCCCTCTGAAGACATAGTAAAGTGCTTACCAGCTCTGTATTTTTAATGTTGGACTAATTCTTTTTTACCTCATAGTGGCCATTCGTGCAGCCCTTCAGTTAATTGTTTGTTTGAAACTAACTGTTGTAGCTCCCCCTTTTGGAAACAAGGTCTTGACAGCAGCTGGATGGAGCTTATGTCTTCACATCCAAAGTTGTGTGGCTTAGATGACCATGTCATGGGTATCTACTCTCACCAATATCATACAGAGCCCAAGAAAAAACAAACACACAAAAAAACCCCACAGTGAAGCATCCTGAGACCTGAGCTTTTGGTGCACCGGGTTTACGTATGCACCCCTCAAACATTCACTAAGGGTGAAAGGGAAAGCATTAGAGATTTTTTTTCTCTTTATTTCGTATCTCCAACTGAATATTTTTGGTTAATTGATCACGTTGGCTACAGCACCAAAACAAAATAGAGGCCCCTTTGGTTTGATTTGGTCCCAAATTACATCCGTCAGACCAGGGCTTCTTTGATTCATAGTCTTTGTCTGCTGTGCATCGATTGCCCTCTATATCCTTTATGCCAACGGCCCGTCGATCCTTACTCTGTCTTTATTTCAGTCCCGATGATGTTTCTGTATTGATTTTAGTGCCAAACTGAAGCTTGCTCACTGTGGGTCCTTCGGCTCTGCCATTGAAATTTGAAGACTAATTGATTTCAAATGAGCGAAAGGCACGACGTGTTTCCTCATACCAAACCACTCCCTCAGGCTGTACTTGGATGTGACACGTCTTCACTTCTTTTACCTCTTGCTTTGCCAGACAGTTATTTCTTTGCTTTATCTTAAATTTATCTTAGTCTTTGCTTAATCTACACTCGATGTACAAGAGTAAATATAAAGTACAGATGTGGCAGCACTGGACTTCAGCTTGTTGGTTCCACAGATAGTATAAAAGATGGCAAATTACCAGTTGGTTAGTGAAGTCTGGTGAGACTTCAAGGTGCCTGTTTTTGTCACCATCCTGGTGTTTTGAAACTTCCTTTCTGACTCCTGATGACCATGAAGGCAATTTAAAAAATGCCTTGGGAATTTTATTCAGTAATACCAGAAACTAGCAGTTCAGTAATCTAGTTCTTAAATGCATCGGGGAAAAATGTTTACTGAGAGCATAGTTCCAGGAAAGATGCATGCACAAGTTGTCCATTCCCATCTTTTTAATTTCTGGTTGAACAACACTTTCATAGCAACAGTTATGAATAATTTGGAAAGTCGCCATTCTCGTTTGTTGGTTAGTAGGGATTTTCTTGGTAAAAGCCATGACCTTTTCCAGTTAATGTTTTCAGAAATATTCATACAGGGTGTTGGTGTTGGTATTTCTGTGAACAAGGTTTCCCATTATTTTCTTGACTGCTTGCTGACTGGTCATTGTGGAGCAATCATAGTCATAATCATTGGACTAAACGAGTGGTATGAAGTTTTATATGTAGGTGAAGATTCTGAAATGCTGTCTGCATCAACAACAATATTTTCTGCATTTTACAGGAAATGAATAGCAGCTGACCCAGGGGCTGACAGTTACTACCAATCAAAACAAATCTTCTTTTTACATTAAATGGGAATAAAATTCTTTTGAAGAAACTTTCAGTTAAGATGGTTTAAATGTGAATAAGATGAATCTTTCACATATTTTTTGTTTTACACAACAGCACAACTAAATTAAAAAGTTGGAATAAGAAGCTCTACATGCAGATCAACTCTTTGTCTAGTTTGACACAATTTACATTTGATTGATTTCTTTCTTAATTGCAAACATACAACAACCCTGCTTTCTAGCAGAGATAAGTGCAGCATGCAGGATGGATATATAGATATATAAATTACAAAAAATATATAAATTCTAAAAAGTACTATATTTTTATAGATAAAGGTATCTTTTTTGATGGGCTAGTAAATATCTATAGGGCCAGTAAATTGCTCAATAGCAAAAATGCAGTCTTGGTGTATTGTAGATATGTTGCAGTTGCGCCGTAACAGAAAATGTTGAACAACGTTAAACCAAAGTAAAATTTCCACCAAGCACACCAATCAGTTGTGTGACACTCCATTCTCTCTTTAGATGAGATGCGGAGACACTTCCTCAAATAAATGTAGTTTAGTGGGAAACCATGTAGTAAATTATACTTGGTGCACACTCATTTACTCTTTCAGCAGGTCATATTTGCAGGTGTGATTGAAGCACTTGTCTTGATTCCAGATTTTACAGGGATCATGAGTCATGACTTTTAAATTTTTAACTTGTCAGCTTTAATTAAAGAGTCTTCATAAAAGCAGCTGAAACCACACAGTAAAGTTTCCCACATGACAAACATCACACCTCGCAGAGCTACTCGACTTGTCATTTGACTCCCGTTAGTTTCTGTTCAAGCAGTTAGTGAAACCTGTGCTCTTTGTGTCTCTGCTGTTTTCATGGGCGGGACAAGTGACTGTGAAAGGTGTCAAGTTCAAAAACATCCAGGCCACAACAGGTTTATATTCAAAAAGGGGTTGAATAAGGTTATTATATCACCTTTTGCACTCTTTTCATTTCTTATAAGCTGATTAATGTGGATGTTTAAACTCTGATGGGTTTTTACCTGCAGCCTTAATCTTACTTTGTCGTCTTTCCCCCCTTTTTTTCAGGTGTGGCTGACAGACTAGCTGAAGGTAGAGGCCGACTCCACCTTATCCATTCACTTTGCTGCCCTGTCGGGGAGAGCAGAGTACAGTCTTTTTTGTTTTGTTTTTTTCTTTCTCTCTCTCTCTCTTTCTTTTTAATGCCTGGATGCAACCCGCCAACTTGTGAATTCATGATCACATGACCGTGGATATGGACGCAGTCCTGTCCGACTTTGTCCGTTCCACTGGAGCTGAACCGGGATTGGCCAGAGACCTGCTAGAGGGTGAGTTACTGAGGATAGTAGAATTTCATTATTAACAATATTGTAAAGCTAAAGTGATGAATGCAACATGACGTTTCCTTTCCCCTTCCTTAATGGATGTTAGTTCAGACTGAGCCTTAATTTAAAGTATAGTTTATTGTTTAAATTAAGACTTGAACTTAAATATTAAGACTAAACAAGCAGCAGTGTTTTAATGATGTATTTCACGATGTATAAAATAGTTGGTGATAGCTGGACCCAGGCATAAAGCTTGCTTTGCTTTATATTTATGCTTCTCGCACTTGTGGTTTGATGTGATATTTATTAGCTTTTTGACTGCAAATAATTAGATTGAGATTGAATTAATGAGAGCTGCTGTTGTCACTTTTCTTTCACAGTAGTGCGGTGATTAGTGCTTGGTTTGAATCTTCTAACGTGTTGGGAGTTTCCTGTGTGGAGTTTACATGTTTCTTCTGGCCCTGTGCAGATTTCTCTGTGGGTTTTCCAGCTTCCTCCCACAGTTCAAATAAATCCTTTTTTAAAGTTGATTGGTGGTTCTAAATTGGCCAAGGATGTGAGATAAACAAAGTGTGTGATGATTATGGAATAAAGACGTGTATGAATGCGGCTAACTGTGGTCGAAGGTTCCTGGAGTTGTAAGGCTAAAAAAGCCCTATAAATGCCATTTCTGTTTCCTCCACCTGAGTTCACGCTCTCTATCTCAGCACAGCTTTGTTGCATCACCAGCGTTGCGTTCCAGCTGTGTTTTCCACATCATTAGAAAGCACCACTTTCTTCTAGTAGCTTCCTTCAATGTGAAAATACAGATGTAAAGCGAAAACTTATCAGATCTGTTTGTCTTTACACTTTGATCCCTTCTATTTTTAATCTATTAATTTCATTTCTGCTTCAAGTGAACTTAAAAAAAAAAGCAGAAGTGGGGATGTAGTTATAGGAAGTTAACTGGAGATGATGTTCCAGGCAGTGGACTCAGTAAGTGCTTTTGGCTTTTTACTGTTAATTATGCTATCAAAGTCTAATAGAACGTAGGTATTACTAGTGTCAGCAGGGCTCCTGTTGCCTAGCAGCAGCACAAGTTGCAGATAAGAATATGGGTTAAAATGTAATGCATTGCAGCAACATCAGCAAGACAGCGAGCTGAGGCGTTTATCCAATAAAGGAATGTGTCAGCGGCCTTTGGGTACAACAGAAAGCCCGTGTTGCATTGACTTGTGGTAAATATTTAAACTGATGAGGAATCAGTCATTTGCTGGCCAAAAAGATTCAGGTAGTCCTGTTGGCGCAGTTAACTCAGACAGATGTTTCTGTCTCTCCCTTCCTCTCTCTTCCTAGGCAAGAACTGGGATTTCACTGCTGCCCTCAGTGACTTTGAGCAGCTGCGACAGGTGCATGCTGGGAACCTGTCGTATTCGTTCACAGAAGAGCGAACGTATCTGGCCCCTGAAAAGGAGATGGCTCGGGTAGGACGGCCTATACTCCATCGCCAAGATGAGGTGGTGCAAGGTGAGGTTCTCAGGAAGTGAGTTAGTCCAAAACATGAGTTCAGTTTGCAGTTTATTAGGTGCACCAACTTAATCTAAATGTTTTGACTACAACAAACATGCAGTGACTACATATCAGCTGATAAAGTGACAATTACAGAGGGTTTAAACCTCACAGTATTTTTGTAATCTGGTGCTCGCAATGGAGGCTTGAGGCTCGAGCGTGTGAGTTGGTGCAGTTTAGGAACCCAGATGACACAGGGATGTAACTGCAAAGGTTGGAAAAGATGAGAAGTTTAAACTTTCTGTATTACTTTTTCATGGTTAAACACTGATATATTATTTTTTCTTTCTTTTTTCCTGAATAGCGACAGTGGTTTAGGAGTAGACTGCAGTAGTTTCAATATGAGTAAAAATGGTTGCAGAGCTGGGTTGATGTCACAGCTTCTGTGATGACCACGGTGTAACGCTGACAACAGCACCAAGTCAGCGAGCAGTTTTCTGATAATAAGCCCTGTTGGTGTTTCAGCTGTGATATGCAAAATTCTACGTTACAATTTACATTGGATGTTTGGGCGAAAGTTTAGTTGAGCTGTCTCTTAGTTTAGGTGAGTCCACACTTTTTAAAATGCAGGCATGTCCCCCTGCTGCCAAAAATAATGTATCATTCCCGAAAGGTTACTAATGCACAGTTTCATTCCTTATCAAATAAAAATACTAGCAATTGTCCTACCGCTTAATATTCTGGTCTACCCTGAGACTAAACATAATAACTACAAATCATAATGTGCAAATATGCACTTCGTGCAACACCTTTTTTTTCTCTCTCTCTCTGTAGCTACAGAGAAGCGTTTGTCGAGGGGTATTTCTCATGCTAGCTCTACCATCGTTTCTCTGGCCCGCTCTCACGTCTCGAGCACCGGCGGTAGCAGCAATGAGCCTCTTCTGGACACGCCCCTGTGCACTTTCCAACTGCCAGACCTCACTGTGTACCGGGACGACTTCAGGAACTTCATTGAGAGGGACCTTATTGAGCAGTCCATGATGGTGGCCTTGGAGCAAGCTGGTTAGTATAACTCTGTACCATACATGAGATTTTAGGCTTGACTTGGTTGCAGATAAAAGACAGTTCTTATCCCCCACGTGCTTTTGAAGTGACACGAGTGTTTGTTGTTTCTATTCCAAAATATATTGCCTACTCCTGCATTTATAAGACAACAGATCTACTGCTTCTGTTTTAAATATTTGGATTTAAAATCACGACATGCTGTTTTAAGTGACGTTTGTTGTGACTAGTTCATGTTAAATTACCAACAAGGGTAAAATGCTATTTTGCAGTGGTAGCTTGGCCCCTTTGAAGAACTTGTTGTGGTGTTACTTTGACCCGCCACTTCCAAATGTAAATTTTGTATCCAGAGTGTCAGCTGGTGGTTTTGTGAAATATATTTTGAGACATTTCTTGTTCGGTCCTTGCCTCTCTGTCTTCTGTCTTCTCCTTGTCGTCACCTCGCTGGGCAGGCAGCATGGACAGCTAAGTTTGTGAATGCCATAATTCGAGAATGAGTCGAGCTTCAAATTTATACCATAGGTGTATCTACTAAACCTCTTTGACAAGTTCGAATCTCAGTGACCTAGACCTAAAGGTCAAAGGTCAAGATCCTGAACATTTGTAAATGTGATAACTTGAAACCAAGGTCTTCTAATATGTGTCTTCTAAGACGCTGAGCGGTAACACTGTCGCCAGTATTTTTAATTTTTTTCCCCTTTCTCCAATGGCTGCCCCACCACGAGTCTAGTTGTGCTCGAAGTTTGTTAAAAGGTTCTTCGTTCCCAAACTTGCCAACTGCTACTCAGAACAGATAATCTGGTTATCGAGTAGTGCTGGGCGATATGACGATATATATCGTGTGGACGATAGAAAAGTGTATTTCGTGCCATTTGTCTTCTATTGTTTCTAACCTAATTTTATAAATTATTACATAAAATATATCATTAACCCTTTAAAACCGGTCGGAGCAGTCACACTCCGTTTTGCCTATCTATTTTTGAATCCCTGTAGAACTGGAACCACATAAGCTAGCGCAATAATTTTTTTTGTTTTGTGTATGAAACCGGAGGAGTTGTACTTACATCTTATGCCATTAGCTTTTCCTAGGTCAAGGGCAATAAAATTGAATCACAATTTGTGTTGAATTTCTTATTTTGTGCTCACCTCGTGTGTGCAGCTAGGGCAGGAAAATAGACTGTTTTCAACATCATTATATTAAATTGTGACAGTAAACGTATAACTCATTCAAACAGCTCTGACAGTTGTAGCAAAATCTGAATACCTGTAAAGGCAGAGGTGTTGTAATCACTAACTCATAATTATAGGCTATGACTTTTGAAGGTGAATTGTTTCATTCCAAAATAAGACAAAATGACACACTGCTAAGACTGCTGACACGAGAGGAAAACCTTCTCTGGAAGTCTTTTGACTTGAAAATCACATGTTGACACAAATGACTATCTTTTTGAGGACTTGCACAGCAGTTGTTTTGGATGAATACTTCACCATATTTGTCATGCAAACATGTGAGTTAAACATTTATTATTCACCTGCAGGGCGGCTGAACTGGTGGACAAAAGTGGTTTCAAACTGCCAGAGTCTGCTACCTCTGGCAACAAGCGGAGATGGAAATTGCCTGCTGCATGCAGCCTCGCTCGGTGAGTATCACGGGCCTTTCAAACAAGACCCCAATACAGTGTAGGTTCACACTCCATTAGCATTCATTAAGGGAACTCCAGTGTTAGCTTAAGCACTAATTGCATTTTACAATGTTGCCGTGCACGTTCACTTTGCCTTTACAGCCCACTTAGGACTCCTAGCTCAGAAAATTAAAAATGCTCCAACTGTGCAGGCATTGTTCCAGACTTTTATAGTAGGTGTGAGTATAATATTCATGTGCTTAACTTGTTCTCATTAAAAGACAGTTAGACCCTTTAGCCATTGTAAGTTTGTAGTTTTTTTTTATTTGGGACATGACAATACAGAAAAACCCCTGAAACATCTGCACACCTATATGATTAGATGTGGTTGTACAAAAGATTCTGTTGATGTGTGTTTAACGACCTGATTTTGTTTCTGTTGCAGGTATGTGGGGCTTTCACGACCGAGACTTGATGCTGCGGAAGTCCCTGTACGCGCTGATGGATCACGGGTTGGAGAGAGAGGCACTGAAGCGCAGGTGGAGGTGGCAGCAGACCCAGCAGAACAAAGAGGTCTGTCACAGAGGCTGCACATTAGTCTTGACTATCTTTGTTATTCCCATGACTGTATTAGGGCGGTGCACAGAGAAGTTACTAGGCAAGTTGAGGCTTTTCACATGCCTTGCATGCCAGATAAGTCAGCCTGCATAACATTTGATATTTAACGAGTAGCATGCAGTTCAGAAGATGAAGGGGCAGCGCTAGTGCACAGAATAAGATAAACAAGATGTAGTTTGAATTCTGAATCATTAGAATTTAGTTTTCGTTTTTATTTAGTTTCCTCCACTACTGCTACATTTTTAACTGTAAATACTTTAGCTATGGACAAGACTGTCTTCCTCACTCGAGTTTTGAAAATTCAGTTAACTTTGATTTACAATAATTAGTAAAACAAGATATGGGGTTGCACCAGGAAGGGCATCTGTGGTAAAACTGAGAAAGCCTGTGGTGTGGGAGCAGCTGAAAGGAGTAAAACAGGTACTTTCGATAAATTGTCTTTTGGCCTTCATTTTCATCAAAAGAAAACTTTTTTTTTTAAATATATTTTTGTAAACCCCTTACCTTCCTGAATTCACTCTGTTCCTGGTTGTGTTATGTTTAGTTTAGTTATTTAAGTTATTCTTTGTTTTTTCAGTTAAATTATAATTAAAGTACAAAGAAATGGAAACTTGTAAATCTATTTTCCCGCATTTTTGACCAGTATTTAGGATTTATTATTTTATTTTTTAAATTTATTTTTAATTGTGCAGCAGTACTCTGGATTAAATTCAAACATTTTTAGCAGCGCTGTTGTATTTAAAAAAAAAAAAAAAGTGGCACTTGCAGGTTTACATATCAAACCAAATTCCCATGTAACTCATTATTGGTTAACTAACTTTTGAAAATTGTTGTTTTTACCATGAAAAGTCACCTTTGTCCTTTTTTTGCAGCCATAGCAACATGACTGACGGCCATATCAAATGCAAACATTGATTCTGAGATGTAACTCTAAGCACAAGTATCGCCACCTTTTTTCTTAGTTGCATGCTGATAACGCTTTTTCGCAATGTGTCAAAAACAGGATTTTAGAGCCTGTTTTACAAAACACAACTTTTATCCTCATGAAAGCTTAAAATTGTAGCACAGCAAGTATGTTTTTTTTTTTTTTAAAGTGGATGCAGACAGCATGCACATACCCACAGTAAGAGGAAACCACATGAATGACTGCATAATGTTCACAGCAGAATATCTGAGGCATCCTCAAGCAAATCACTTAAACCAAACACGCTCTAGTGGAGCTGCTCCGTGGGCAGTGCTCGGGCCTGTGGCTGCTCTGTGTGAATTTAGGTCATTGATTTTATTTGGTGGCTGTCAAAACTGGCCAAAAATCAAGTTTGACCATTCATTTAAACAAAACATTTGAATATCGTACTTTGTGCATTAATTCCTCACGAGTACAAAACCAGAGTGAGATATAACTGCTTCTATAGCTTCTATATTTATTTCAACATAGAGATGTCCTTTATAAGCTCTATGTAGCATTAACAAATACAGTTATTGGGTTAAGCTATAGAAGAATGGCCGGTTGATACGCTGAGTAAGCTCTGCTGTGACAAACATGGAATAATCTTTTCCTCAACATAAAATTCAAACCTCCAGGGACCTGCAGCGCTTGAAGTTTTTATCACTCATCTATTCATTACTCAGTAAGAAGAGTTAATGTTCCACTATGCTAAGTTTGTAATGTTTACAGACAGGGCTCTGAGTGTTAATCACTCTGTGTTTAGCAGTGTTGGGTTGTGAACTATTTACCATCATTATCACACAGTTGTTATTGTTACTTCCTGTAAGTGTGGCAGTGACAGAGACATTAACATCTGTAATAGGTCTCTTTAATTTTCTATAATAATAATTTTAATATGCAGCATAAACACGTGTCGTTGTTAAGCAACAAGGTAATACCTCTGTGAAACAAAATGTAATATGCTCTAATTACCTCTGGCTTGCTCAGTTTGCTAATGTGATAGCTTGTCTGCTGTCAGTGTAGACCTTTGTGTTTTTCTTGCTTTGCTCATAGTTGGTTCTGAAGTCTTCTCTCCTTCCTGCATTTTGTTAAAGTGGAAGCAGGAAGGAGAAGAATTTAAAATTATTAACTCCAAGTTTGAAATGAAAGCTCACTTTTACTTGTGATGGCAGAGCAATGCAGACGCACCAGCACAGGTCTATATGCAAACGGCAATGTTGACCACTTATAGCAGGAATTAAACACAGTACTATAAATTTAACCTTTGAGATCAGCAGCTTGGACAGAGTTAAGTTCACATCTATCCCTTACATCTGAATTGTACTTCTGGGTCAGAGCCATGTTATAACCAGAACAGCTTTTTAACCCTGCACCGCAATATTCAACGTAACCTGACGTGCACCTCCCAAGAAATGGAACTACAAATCGGGTCAACGCATACCCCGACGTCTTGAATGGCGTGGAAGGTTGCAGTGTAGGGACAAAAGGAGTTTCCGGTTACTACTCAAGATTTAAAGTCTAAATCAAGCTTCAAGTTTGCATCTAAAGGTCATATGGAGCTTTTACCTATTTGGCATCCCTATCATTTAACATACTCTGGACGCGTTTGCCTTGAGTTGTTCAGCTGATATTTGTCCTCTTATGTTTCCTAATTGTCAGTTTAACTGCACACTCGATCACTGCTCTCTTCTCATGCCAGCAGCAGTGCAGCTTTTCCAGATTTTCCACAGATGATTATTGATTCTCGCAAACCAATGGCAGTTTAATTTAATAAAATTTAGAATATGTGTTGACAGCTCTGCTCTGTCGCTACTGTACGAGCGACAGTATGTTTCTAAAGGCTCTAGGCTCAATTGTCTGCATGTAACCTTGAGGTGAGATGCCATAACGTCAGTACATGCTTTTGTGACATTTGACACGGCCTCTCTAAATGGCAGTTGTGTTTGTGTGTGTGTGTGCCCTTCTTTTCTCCTCAGTCTGGGCTGGTGTACACGGAGGAGGAGTGGCAGAAAGAGTGGAATGAACTGTTGAAGCTCGCCTCCAGCGAACCGAGAATACACTACAGCACCAACGGCACCAACGGGTAAGGCCTGGCCCGGACAATGCAGTGACTGTTAACCCAGCACACTTAGTCACAGTCATGTTTTTATTCATGAACAGACAAGCACACTCACAGTCACAACTGAGTGACCGGCCCTCATTAGTCCATCTGCTTTTTTACTGTGGCAAAAAAAAGTCCACTGGGTCGAATGCAGTGACTGTAAAGCTATAAAAACCAAAGCCACACTAACACAATGTGGTTTTTAAGTTTTACTGTTAGCCAAAGTTTCAAGTTGGTAGTAATAAACTGTTATCTTTAGTGTAAACAATCATCTCTGATAAACAAGAAACTGTTGCTGTCGTTGTTTCCAGAGTGGAGTCTTCAGACGAGCCGGTTTATGAGAGTTTGGAGGAGTTTCACGTCTTTGTCTTGGCTCATGTCCTTAGAAGGCCCATCGTGGTGGTCGCTGACACCATGCTGAGGGACTCGGGAGGAGAGGGTAAATAAGCCTGAAAAGACTTTTCATTATTTCACTTTCAGTTTAGTTTTATTGTTTTTCAATGTTCCATTTTCATTAGTTTCCATTTTTAACCTGCAGCCATGAAAGTCTGATGAGGGATTGTTGTCAGCCCTCCAGGCGTGCGGCGTGAACACCCAACTTTCTGAGCACTCTAAGCCGAGATCGAGGGGACGTAGGATTTTCAAATTAATGCCTTAGCTACATTTACTAAAACTCTTCGATGTTTGAATAAACCTTTACCTCAAGGTCAGAGGTCAGGTTTTTGGAAAATCTCGTGAACACAATGAGTTAAAAAAAGATGTCACTGTAGATTTTTAGGTTTTTATTAGATGCAAGTTGTAAGTAGTTCAGAATACTTATTACAATACACATGTAAAGATGTCACAGTAAATATACACTCAACTGCCACCTTATTAGTTAAAGCAGAAATTAACTAAGTCTGACAACATTTACTGGCTGTCAGGAGTGGCACACAGTGTGGTCCTCTGCTGCTGTAGCCCGTCTTCTGTTTTTTTTTTTTTTTTGTTTGTTTTTTTGGACCATCATCTGTAAAAACCTTAGAGCTGCTCGTGTGGGTCATCTTCACTATCAGTGGGTGGGATTGTTGATTTGACCAAACTGACAAAAACTACGGTACAACTAAAGGTGTTTCCTGTATTTTTTTTTTTTTTTAATTCCCAATGACCCACTGAAGCCGTGGTCTGCACATCGACAGTCTTTCTGTGCACATGCTGCAGCTTCAAGCTAACAGGCTAGCTGAGACAGAAAGTGATGAAAGCTGTTGATGGAAGACACAAAAGTGGTGTTGCCGGCCTCCTTACACAAATGTAGCAGGGCCTGTTTATTTTCTGTCCACTTATACCCAGAAAATGTATTTTTCCCCTTCAAAGATCATAATCTGTCTTCATTTGGATCCTCGAATCTCCAGCTTATGAAAGATATGAAGTCACAGACCAGAAATGGGCTTTTCATAAAGTCACGGAACCAGAAAACATTAGCAGCTGCAGCACAACAATCTCAAAGTGATGTAAAGGCTAGTTTTATTTGTATGAGCAGCCAGTTTATGAAAAACTGTGTTTTCCAGCGTTAGTGGAAATTAGTTGGGTACATTCACGTGGGATTAAGATTCCAGATGAGCTCAGCTTTTTTTAAGACTATTTTTCTGTGAACAGGAGTGTAGATGTTTGTCATTTACAGATTACAAAACTGAGGCCAAACAAAAGCTTTGAACCAGATAATCCATGATTCATGATTGCAGTATTTCAAATGAACTCTGCCCTTCTGATATCTTAAAGTTAAAACAAACAGTATGAACTCCTGGCAGCCTTTTAGGTTTTCCCCGTGCTTCAGAGGGTTTCTCTGGTTACAGCTGGGCTGTGACGGCTTGCCTGTCTCGTCCCAGGACAGGTCTCACAAAAGACTCATCTTAATAACATTAGAGTTTCACTTCCTTGTGGAATAAGGTTAAATAAATATATTGGAGCACTTTGTTTGGAAAAACAAATGTGAAACCAGCATTCTTGGGAATAAACTGAAGCATGAACAGTTTGCTATCTTTTAGTAGCTGTTGTTGTTTTTTGATAATGATCTTTTCCATTTCAAGTAGATTAAAAATCTTCCAACAAGTGAGGTATTGTCCTTGTATATCTTTATTGTTTACTCGTATGTTTCTGTTGTGCTTTACTGACTGAGAAACAGAGCTGAGGTCCCGTTTCGCAGATGTTTAATGTGCTTATTACTCACCCTCCAGCTTTTGCTCCCATCCCATTCGGAGGCATCTACCTACCGCTGGAAGTGCCATCTGCCAAGTGCCATCGCTCTCCGCTGGTCCTGGCATACGATCAGGCGCACTTCTCTGCTCTGGTCTCCATGGAACAGAAGGACAGCTCGAAAGAGCAAGGTGATGCTCTCCATCATCCTTTAAAATGATCGCATAAATATTGATTCCTTTTTCAAGGGCTGGTAGTAAGCAGCTGATATCTTAAAGCCATAAAGGCGAGTACATCAATCAGGGGAATGCTTATACAAATATTCCCCCAGAGAAGTTGATGAGTTTCTAGTAAGCACTAGGGGTTTCTTTCTTACTTTACAGCTTGGTGCCGCTGCTTGATGGGGAAGTCCTTTTTGCGTATTGTTCTTGATGATTTATTTGGGAATGATGACTAAAGAGAACTGGGCTTCCATGATCCATGGAGCTCAGCTCCAGGTTGGGCTAAAAATACAAGATGAAAGATGTTATCAGGGGTCCAGTAATGATGCTAACTGGGATATTTTTAAAATGTGTTTTTGTGTTGTTGTTGTTGTTTTTAAACAACTGGAAAAAAAAAGATATTATTAACACTAGAGCACCAGCACACTCATGTGTAGATTGGTTTTCCATTTAGTCACAGCTCTCTTCTCTTTTTGTAAGTACTGCACTCTCGCCTGAACTTGGCTAAACTACGGTGAATGCCTCTGACAGTATTTGCACACTAAAAAACTGCCCACAAAAAAACCCCAGTGACCCCAGGAATCCAAGGCTGTGCTTCTGGCTCGGACGTGGCTGGTCTGCTCCTTCACTTTGTGACTTCTTTGGCATGCAGTGAATCTTGGGATAGGTCGAGTCACATTTGTGGGGAGCCTTGTTTATACTACTCCTGATGCAGCCTTGGAAGGATTTGCAATCAAATAAGGACGCAGCCATAGTCTGAATTCCCATGCTAATGTCAATAGCATGGGAATTCAGACCATGCAGTGATTTAATGTTTTCCGATTGCAAGAGTGGAGTCTAAATCCTGATTTTATGCACAGTTCTATACTTGAAATTCACTGCACAGAAAACTCAAAACCATCCAAAGCCAACTGCTAAATATTAAATAGGAGATGAAAGATGCTGTTTGCCCACAGTCCTCACTTATGTAGGTGTATTTTTTTTATTGTTTTCTGATGTTTATTCTTGTTTCCACCAGCAGTTGTGATCCCTCTCACTGACTCAGAGCACAAAATGCTGCCACTGCACTTTGCTGTGGATCCAGGGAAGGACTGGGAGTGGGGGAAAGATGACACAGACAACGTGATGCTAGCAAGGTACAAAAAGATTTTACTTTTTTAAATCCAGCTTTGGTTGTCTGTTCTGTTTGGTTTGTCACTTACAAAGGACACGGTTAACAACTAGAGTGGCACATGCTCACTTGTGCGTGCTTGCCCTTATTGACAGCTGTCTCTTTAACACGAGTCTCAGTGTGTAGGGATTGACTGCTGACTCCAGATTAGTGACAATTAGATTAGCTCAGACGCTTCTCTATGAATGAACCAGAGGAACGAGCACTAAAATAGCCGCTCTGCAAAAAAAAAAACCCTTCCACCCTATTTACGTCAGTGAGTGACACCAGAGGTCTTATTCAGATGAAACGGCGGGCTGAGATGATGTTATGTGAGTGGCTGTTAACATTGTTTGAAAAGGTCATTGACTTAAAAGGCCATAGCACAACAAGAGTATACGACAATGAGATGCTTTTAGTGATTTTGCCATTTACTCCACCATTTAGATCCATGTGAGTCTTTACTTACTTTATTTTAACTTTACCTTTAAAGAGCACGTATTCTCATTATTTCCAGCTCAGTCTTTGTACTCGGGGACTCTGACAGAGCAGCTTTCTATGAGTCACTGTTTGGATTAATTCCTTATTTTGTACAGGAGCTTATTTTAAAGTGACTTTTGGTCACACTTTATAATACCCATCATTAATTGTGAGTTGATAAGCCATCTTTCTCACTGCCTATCTGAGTGAAAGGGCAGGTTTACAAGATGGTAATAAGACCTGCTATGATGGGTGGTTTGGTCATGGTGGCACTAAAAAGAAAAAGAAAAAAAAGAGGAGGCAGAGCCGAGCCAAGGATGTTAAGATTTTTACTTGGAGTGAACAGGAATGACAGGATTAGAAGTCAGTGCATCAGAGGGACGGCTCAGGTCGAGCGAGGCAAGGCTGAGATTGTTTGGACATGTGCAGAGGAGGGACAGTGGATATATTAGACAGATGATGTACATGGAGCTGCCTGGTAGGAGGAGAAAAGAACACCTCAGATAAGATTCATGGATACAGTGACGGAGGACATGCAGACTGTTGGCGTGACAGAGGAGGATGCTAGGGGCAGGGTGAGATGGAGGCGAGTCTTCGAGGCAGATTTTGATGACATGCACACACGGTTGTATATGTCACGTACTTGAAGCTATTTGCTTGTTTACGATTGTAAAACATGGGGGAAAAAGACATCTGTCTTTTTAATATTTGTAAAACAAGTAATAGTAATATAAATTTCAGTTTTTTAAAAGCCAACCACAATTATATTTATAGATGCACTGCAGTGTTTAGCTGTCCTCAGTCTGTTGTTATGCTGTTATATAATAGAAATGGAAATAATAGAAATATCCTTTATTATCCTCATTAAGGAAATTCATGTGTTCCAGCAGGAAAGTGAAAAATGGAGTATGCAGATTCACACACAAGTAAAGAATAAAATAGAAGAAATAAGACAAGAAATAAGTATTTCCTTTACTTGTTCGAATAATGGTGCAATTAATCAGCATCTCCTCAACATTACACAGGGCAAATTTACAACAAAAGAAAAAAAATACAGTGAATGTTACATTAAATGGCAAAATTTACTTGTTACTGTTTGTTTATGAGCAATTAAAAGTATTGCCCAGCTTTCTTATGCTTAACGACAATGCTGCGTATCCGAGGTGACCATATTAGAGACATTGTTGCTTAATGACATCATTCAGAACCAAAAATGAAAAAAAAAAACCCCCATCAGAAATTGAACATTTACAGCAGCCTGAACTTTAGGCTCACCAGGGATTACTTATACGTATGCCAACCTCCTTATTTGATAGATATAGCTGTAGATGTAGGTTCACTCTAAGAAGGCAACTGACTGCCATTTATCACATGAAACAACTTATGTTCTGTTTTTATGCTTTCACATCTTGTTCTCACTGTAAGACCTAAATCTCTCTTCACCGCTGTGTTTTTGTTGTTGACTTCCCTTTGCAGCTTGTTTTGTATCTATTTTTCTGCCCGTTATTATGATGCTTTAGAATCCAGCTCATGACTGTTGTCTGTGTAATGACAAAAACGCTGTTACATTATAAAAATAACGTGATCGGCTACCCAAACAACAACAGTAATTACTTTTCCATTAGCACAGGAAGCCCTGGCAGAAAGTTCCCTCTCACTGAACTTTACCTTGTTTTTCTCTCTCTCTCCCTTTCCTTCCCCCTTCGACCCAGTGTGGCTCTTTCTTTGGAGGCCAAGCTCCAGATGTTGCACAGCTACATGACGGTCACCTGGCTGCCCCTGCCATGCGAGGTAAGGATTTTTAATCCAGCACTTCTTGTGAAATGGCTGACAAGTTAGCTGAGGAAGATGGCTCAGAATTGAAGACTTCTTTAATACTTTGCCAGACAAATCTGGTTTTGGGTTATTAGAAAAGGAACTAAATCCTGATGTAATCAGATAAATGCTTCAGGGGTTGGTGATGAATGTTAATTCCTTCAATTATTACAAACAAGAGCAGGATTTCTTTCCTTTTCCTTTGGGCCAGCTCTCCCTCTGACTGCTGTATATGTGAAAACAAACAACAGTGGCCCGTTCAGGTCAAAAAGTCACGCCATGTAAACACTATCACAAAGCTCCTCTTGTGTCCCATGTGGTAACGTCAGGAAGCTCGGACGAGCAAGTTCATAGCAGTTTCATGGTTATGCTACAACGAATGGCAGCTTACATGAAGCCCTGTGTTGTTAGAGGGAGTTTTTCTGTTTCCACAGGATAGCCACGTGATGGCTTAGTTTCTGAAAAATGGTGCATTTATCTGATTTCGGTCACTGCATCACTGCAGGTCGTGTTTGTAGAAGTTAAATGACATCTGGACATGTTTTTTTTTTCAGCATTTGGGAGCAAAAAAGAGCTTCTTGAATCACTTTTTTCACTTTCTTCATACCTTTCTTCTGCCATAAATGTGGTGGACCTTGGTTATATAGTTGTATAATTTTCTCCTACTGGTCTGCAATTTTTTTCACTAGAACTTGTTCTGCTTTGTTTGTTGCAGCAAGCCCCGCTGGCCCAGCCGGAGTCTCCTACGGCATCAGCTGGAGAAGATGCCCGGTCGCCTCCTGACTCCGGAGAATCGGACAAGGAGTCTGTCAGCAGCAGCTCCAATGGCAACGGAGACACAACCACAGGATCAACAGTCAATGGAGGGGGATCTTTGGCCAAGAACAGCTCCTCCTCTTCATCTAGTTCATCCAGCAGTGGATCAGCAGGGAAGGACAAAACCAAGAAGGAGAAGGACAAGGATAAAGACAAGAAGAGGGCAGACTCTGTGGCCAATAAGCTTGGCAGTTTTGGAAAGAGCCTGGGCAGCAAGTTTAAGAAAAACGTGGGTGGGCTGATGCCAGGAAAAAATGTTGGAGCTGGAGGTGCCAAGCAAGAAGGTGGGGAGAAGAAGAAAGGCTCATTTAGAGGGAGGAAGGGCAGCAAGGATAGCTCGCCTTCTGCCCACGCCTCTGAGGATTCTGGGAAAGGCTCTCCCTCCTCGGGCAGCGAGCGTCTCAATGGAGCCGGGAGCAGCATGAGCAGCAGTGGTGGGAGCAGCACTGAGAGCGAGCCCTACAAGTACAGCGCCGATGTGAAGGTCAGCCTCGGCATCCTGCGGGCCGCCATGCAGGGGGAGAGGAAGTTCATCTTTGCCAGCCTCCTCACCACCAGCAACAGGCAGCCCTTCCAGGAGGAGATGATCCAGCGTTACCTCGCCGATGCAGAGGAGCGCTTCCGGGCTGAGCAGGAACAACAGCGCCGCGAGGCAGAGAGGAAAAGCATCGCTAACAGCCTCCAACCCCCCAAGAAGGAGGTGGTTGGTTGTTCAGAGCTAAGTTACCGGCCTTACGAGCCCAAAGAGGAGCTATCGGAGAACTCGTCGCCTTCCTTCAACACGCTTAAGCTGTCTCCTTTGAGTCCCTCTATGTACTCGGCTGTTGTGCCCATCCCCAGGCCCTCCTTCATTGACCAGCCTCTTCCTGCAGCCCCCCTGACCCAGCATCTTCACATGCATAGCTACGTTGATAATCGACGCCAGCTAGCTGGTGGCTCCTCGGCAATCTCTTACCCTGGCCTCCCCTCGTATGCAACCCTCCCCCGGCACGGCCCCACTGCACAGCCTCCCTCCCATCCCCAGTACAATAACTCGCAAGGCCCCTCCTCCCTCAGTCCTTCCCGCCTCGCACCCTCATATCCCCCCGAATTCGACCCACCGGACTACCCCGGGGCTGAACTCACCACTGGGAACTACACCAACGGCTTCCGGGACATGAGCTCCAATCTAGACTGTCGGAACGGGCAGCCCCCTGTCAGACACTACTCGTTGGGCAGTGCTAGCGGATTGGCCGGCCTGCAGTCCAGCCGCTGTCGGACACCCAACTGCAACTACTACGGACACCCCGAGACGGGCAACTACTGCTCCTACTGTTACCGGGAAGAGCTGAAGAAGAGGGAGACAGAACCGGCCATCCACAGGTTCTGAGCAGACCCCGTTGTGGCTTGAATTTGACGAGTGGCCTTTTTCACGACTGGAGCGGATCAGCCTGTGGATGGACGAGGGACAGGGCAACCACCTCCCTCATCTTTTATTCTTAGCCGTGTCATTACCTGTTGAAAGTACCAAGTGAGGCTATATAACTACAGGATACACAAGGTGGTCTTTGACTGCCAGGGTCACGTTAGACCGTAGAATAAACTGCACTTCTGTTACATTTTGCTGTGGCTCTTATGCAGGCGTTGTGTACGAGTGTGTGTGTCTGTGTGTGTGCGCGTGTGTGTGCGCGCGTGAGAGAGAGAACTGCAAACTCTCCTCAAGTCTTGGAGTTGGAACGCCTTGCTACTATCTCCTCCTAGTGGAGCGAATGTATATGGCAGGCATCATACATGACACTTATCAATACATGTACAGAACACACATCCACACTAAGTAATACTTACACTACAACATAAACAGAGATGCAAGCACAAACGGAAAAGGCGTGAGTGTCTCTGCTCCATTTCTATTCTGTGATGATTGGATTGGTTCATTAAGGGATGTTTGAAGTCACGTCTGGTTATAAGGTGATTTCAGTGTTACAGATACAGATATTAACACTATTATCATTAGATGCTTGTACCTCGGGAAACAGCACAATTAATCCTCGTCGAGTTGCTTTTTTTCCTCTTTTGTCGCATAAAATGCACACTGAAACTGTCGTGTGATGCTCATGATAAGCGTTCTGTAGGCTGCTGCGGTGCTAATGTTACAGAACGCGTTTAAGACGACTGCTCTGCACTGCACTCATTCGGGCAAAGTAACTATCACTTAAAATAAAAATCTGCATTTTTGTCCAATGCTGTAAATTGGATTATGAAGATGTCAGCCCCCCCCCCCCCCCCCCCCCCCCCTTTTTTTTTCTCTTTAATATTAAGAGCTATTGACCAGGTCACATGATTGACCGGGCATCATAGATCAAAGACAAGATAGAAACATAGTACGATGGTAAGGTACTGTCCCGGTCCAGAGTATTTCTTCTGTTTGTTGGAATGTTTTTCTTTTTGTACTCGGGTCTTCCTGTTTCCTGTTACAATGGTTGATGTTTGTGTGGCCTCGAGATGCAATAATATGTGAAATGTGAGATGAAACTTAACGTTCAGAACAGCAGATTTTTGGAGACAACAGTCAATAACTTAATTTAGTTGAACATTAGTACGGTAAGCACATTTTGGGATTTTTTTAGGAGAAAATTTATGGCTTTGTTACCAAACATGTTGCGTTAATCAGTGGCGATTTCTCTCTCCATGATGCAAACTGACACAAACACTCGCCTGGATGTGAGAAACTGACATGGTATTAACAAATTCTGGGGGGGTTTTTTTGTTGTTTTTTTTTTAAATATTAATTTTATAATATTTTCCCTCTGTTCTCTCTGAAGGTTTAGAAATGTAAAACATGTTTTATGTGGTCTCCCCTGAAATTTTAATTAATAAGGTGTTCTGATTAATTAGCTGCTTATTGGTTTGGCTATTTACTGCAAATTTAGAGGTTCTGCTGAAGTTTTTTTTGTTTTTGTTTTTTATTTTTGCATTCGGTCTGTCAAAGTTGGTTGTTTTTGCACAAATTTGAGCACTTTTCCTGATGTCTGTGAACTCAGAGCTTTACTGGTTTTTAGTTGGTGCAGACACTGCCACCTCTGGTTCTGGGAAGTCAGAGACCACGGGTCAGACGATTTTTTGTTGCAGGACGCAGAAGATGGTGTCACCATCTCGCTCAGTGTCCCAGTTGCCTTTTTTCAGCATTTGCAAACCAAGAGGCCGACTTCAAGTATCCACTGCTTGCCTGCAGTTTTCACAAATTCTGTACCCAAAACTCAGCAAATTATTTCATGAGTCTGATGAAGTGTTCAGTTTGATTTTTTTCTTCTTCTTTTTTTCTTTAAGACTGTTTTAGTTGTTGACAAATTAATTTCTAATATTTATTATTTCCCCCTGTAATTAAGCTATGGTGATTAACTTTGACAGAGCAACTCTGGTTGTTGTACTCTTGTCCTTTTCAGACGTGAGATACTTGACATCATGCTGTTATTGCTTTCTAACACTGGCGACACTGATGGAGAGATCCACTGTGTACATCCATATGTGCAAAATACTTTACGTCAGCTCGAGAAGTCTGACTGTGTTTAATTCGCAGTCTGAACCGCCACATCAGATTCAGAGAAAGAGGTCTGTCTCTTCTGGACTGAGTAAAGAAAGAAGTATCAAATAAGTAACACAGTCAGAGATGTCGTGACATGGCTGTAATTTGTGTTTCTGGTTTTCTCTGATGAGCTGAGCTAGTGTCAGTCAATGTTTTCATTTTAGTACAATTCCCACATTACTTACTAAACCTAAAAGAATACAGTAATCCTCACCTGCAGCTGGAGCACAGCTGGCTCCCGCGTGACCGGCCTCAAAAGAAAGCATACCTAAACCTAAACCTCAACTGACAGTTGGCCTCGTAGATTTGCTGTTGTGACCTTTTACAGAGAAGGATCAGGGTGTCTGCAAAGGGCTTTAGAGAAGCACAATTCAGTCTGCAATACACTGCCTCTTCCAAACGAGGGCGCCCTTCTTTCGTTTTTCTTGGTTTGTACTTTTCTCTCCTGCAAACCTGCAAACACACAAAAACCAAATGTTTCTGACTAATTTCTTCAGGCTTAATTTCACTCTGTGTAACACAGTATTTTCTCTAATGCTGGTCAAAGGACCAGAATTTCTTCAGCTTTTTTCTTTTTGCTGTGCTTTATAGCTTTAACAACATTAAAACACTGACGTTTTGCTCTTTCCCCAAAAGGCATTTGCTGTGTTTGTGTGTCATCATGTGTTCATGAAAGTGGATTTGTTTTCATTGAGATGAGACCCGACCGGCAAGCGTTTCTCTGAGTGCTGATGCCTGTTTTGTTTTTTGTTTTTTTAAATTTAATTATTTTTTTATGTGTATGTGTGCATACCCTTTTCTTCCCTCCATAGTAATAATTAGCTTACAAACCTTTTTTCAATTTAATTTTTTTGCAATGACATGGATGCCTCAGAAACATGTAAAACATCAGACTTTACAGGCTACGAACACTTTTTTTGTATTGAAAAAAAAAAAAAAAAAAAACAGTGAGAGGATGTATAAATATGTTCGGAGTTATTTTTGTAAGCCCAAAGTTTTACAGTGTTTTTAAAGGGTAAGAATGTATATTGTTGGACATGAAAACAGGTCGGGATTGTAAGAGGCTGTATTTGGGGTATAACTGGCGTTAGGAATAAAGACATTTTGGCTGTTGAAGGTGACCCCGCAGACGAGCCTTTTCATACTCGAGGCTCTCTCATTGCAAACTAATTTCCTCAATGCTGACCTAATAATTCGAGAATATATATTTATAGTGAGATTTTTTTTTTAAAAAAATAGGGTTCCTTGTGGAATGTTTAGTTGAAATGATTTTAGGATGTTCTTTCTCACATGGCTAATTGTCTAGCAGTCTGGCTTTTATTTTATTGCCCTTTTTTTTTCTTCTTCTTTAATTTGTAAATGAGGTTTTATTTGCTGCAGCAACCATTTCCTGTGCCAGGTGATATTGACCCAGCTCATTTCCTCCAAACCAGAAGAGAAATGGCTCAGAATTAGTTTGGTGACAAAACCGATCCAATTATATTTTTCTATATCGTTGACACTGTCGTTTCTGTGAGAGCAGAAGATTCCTCCTCAGAAACATTAACATGGAATACTTTTGAGTTGCATGGGACTGAAAATGTTGCATGTAAATGGCAAAACATTCTACCAAATTTGTGCATTATCTGAGCTTAATTTCAGCTGTCCTGGTATTTTAGTTGGTTTTATTTTATTTATTTTATTTTTATCGAATAAATATTTTTCTTTTTTCCTTTTAGTTTTGAGAGGAGAGCTCTAAGGCTGTGTGACAGTGCAATCTGGACAGAAAGAACATCAGATTTTATGTTAGGTTGTTATTATTATTATAATTATTAATTTTTTTGCACCGTTTGAATAAATTCTCATTGTATTAAAGAAAGCTTTGTTTTCTCTTTCATGTGCTTTTCATAAGCAAAGTTTCTTTTGTAAAAAATCTCCAAATTCTTTAGTTGTAAAAGGTAAAGCCACAAAGTTTGTGCTATGAAATGAATCCATAATGTTGAAGAGCTACTGCAGAATTGAGTCCATACACCTTAAACCTAAATTGGGGGACCAAGCACAGAACAGTCATCAACAAGTCATTCTCACCTCACCAAAGAGGCGTCCATCCCACTCAGATTCATGAACCACATTAACTGTACAACTGACTCAAAGGGGCAGAGGGTCGTTAAGGATGGTCCCAAACACCTTTAAAGCAATAGAAGTTTCTGGCACAAACCTACTTAAGGTACATAAAGAAGGAAAAATAAGCCAAAACTCTGCAACACTTACATAAAACAACTTATTCTTAGACTGCCCTGTTTTAGCTCGTGGCTTTCATCAGCATGATCAGAAATCATTATTAAAATCAATATTTCTTCTGAGTCTTAGTCAGAAAAAAAAGTGCATTTTTAACATTATTGCGTCACTTTACTGATTGAGCTAAAATCTGGCATATTGTACTCTTAATTGATCATGATTGCAATCACAGAAATTTCTTCTTTTGTATTCTGTCATTAACCTAAGTTCATACAGTCGGGGTTTACGGTTTTCCTATAACTGGGCAGCTCCCAGAAAACATCCTCCAAAAGCAGGGCACCAAATCCCTCCCACCCCTGAGTGCAAGTACAAAAGACCCACGCAGTTTCAGACCACTCACTTTATCAGGAGTTTATTAAAGTAGTTTAGAAGAAACACAAAGAGATTTCACTGAAACAGAATAAACTCAGCAGTTTTCATTGTGTTAATACTTGTGTGTTTCATCTTAACCTTGCTGCATTATACATCGCTGAATAACTCCAGCTCAGATGATGCACGGTCCTGTGTCTGGGACTGTTTTATATATCAGAGAAATCGGAGACCCTTATGTAATATTGAACAGTTTCCCATGTGGTAAAAAATCCAGACCTCTCTCTATTATAGTTCACAGGGACACGTTCTCCCCACCTGTTGAGCAGGGCTCAGTGTCGCTCTACACTATTCAGACTTTCCCTGTTCTCGCTGGAAAGGAATTTCCTCTAAATAGGTTTTCTGTTTGTCTGAAAGAGAGACTGACGCTTTATTTGCTCAGGTTTGGATGAGAGAGAAGAGGACTCTGCAACAGGATCAGAAAAGGAAACAAAAAGAAGGTAAACTAGCAGGATTGTTCTCTTCTTTTTTCTGGTTTCTAACAGCAGAGAGATTAATTTCTATTTTTTTTTTTTTAAATAGATGTTGGCTCAGTGGCTCTGCTACAGTTTCCAGACCAAAGAACTTGACAAATGTGATTCATTCATTGTTTTCTTGGAAACATTTAAGGCCAAACTAGTCGAATTTTCTTCATATGAACTTAAAACAGTTTTCATCTGTATGAAAATAAACACACACAGAGGTCAGCTTTGGCACTACTGTGCACAAACACAAACCCTAATAAGAAGTTTGCAATACTGATGTATTTTCTTCTTTTCTTAAAATAACTATTTCTTGCAAAATTACACATATTTAAAGAACAGCTGGTACATTTATAACATGTCTCTCATGGACATACTCCACTGACATGTGTAAACATACACAGTATATAGGCCAAAACTAGGCAGATTTTTTTGTAATTTCTTTAGGTATTTTTTTTTTTTTTTTTTTTCACTTACTGAATACGGGACAGACTTGACTGGGGGAAAGAAGGGGAGAAAGAAAGAGGGAAAGAGAAACAGCTGAGAAGAGGGACGGGGGAGAAGGGCAAAAGACAAAAACCAACAGAATGAGCAGAAAAAGAAAAAAAAGAAGAAAAAAAGAAAAAAAAATGCATATATCAATCACCTGGATCACCTGCTGAGAAAGAAAAAAGAAAGCAAGCAGAAGAGAACAAGAGTAATAGAATAAACAACATCACAATGATATATGGGAATATGATAGTAAATACTAAATGTTAAACATTATTGTGCAGCACAACAGAACACAGTGTGCTTTGAGGTAGGAGCCAAAAAGGGTGTAGTTTGTGGGTGTGATCACCCGTGTGTACACCTGTGAGCATGGACGCGCTTGTTTTTTGTTTTTTAAAAGGTTCCTTCATGTAATGATCTGCTAGAGGGTGTGGGGGGGGGGGAGGCCCCCAGAACACAAGAGACCAAGGAAGACCAACAGAGGGGCAGCTGCGCCACTGTCCCAGAAAGAGCTGAGGAGAGTCCCAGATGAGGGCTCACTCAGCAGCCGCGGAGCAGAAGCCAGGGGGAGTTGCAGTGACGCGCCCGTGAGCTCCGCCGGCAGCCAGCTGTGCCTGAGTGACCGAGCCCCAGGCCGAGAGGCCGGGGGCACCCCACCTCCGAAGTGGCCCGAGCGAGCCCCAGGCTCCAGGCCCCGATAAGCGGCCGCCAAGGAGTGAGCCGGTGTGTACCTGGACGCCCATCCCCGGACACAAAGAACCACCAACGCACCGACGTCTGAGGGAGTCCGCCACTGGCAGGGGAAGTGGTGGTAGGGGGAGATAGGCCTCCATACCTTGGAGGGCCTGAGATGTCCCCAGAGAGGTGGCGTCTGATACCCAACCTGACATATAGACACAGACATACAGGCACACACAGATACAAACATCCATTCCCACCCTCATGCTCTCATATGCACTTACTCCACACTCAACCAACCTAGAGACAGACATAAAGAGACGCTGTACACACGATCACACTCCCCAAGCGTACTCTACAAACCGGGTCTAGGTGCCCCCGCCCCTGGAGGGGGGAACTGCACCCAGACCCAGGTGGTGTTTCCCTTTTCCCTGCGGTGGGGGAGGCAGACCGCCCCGACTCCGCAGCAGCAGGAAGGCTCCACACTCCAGACCGCAGTCGGACGGCCAACTCCTCCTCCTAGCCCCCCTGCTCCAGCAGGTCGCAGAGAACGGGGGTGAGAGAAGACTCCAAACCTCCCTCCACCCGCTCATTGTAGTGTTGATGCATGTGTGTTCTAAGGTGCATTTAAAACCCAGGAGGGCTTGGAGCTACCTGCCAAGGAGCAGCAGATAAGCGCATGGTCCCTCCTGCTAGCCCTCAATGTCTATGTGTATTTAAAATTGAGAGGTGGGCAACGATGCCAGGGGTGGGGTGTACACCCTGATGGTACTTTGGACTCCGTGTATCGTGCCCACCCCCAAGATCCTATATGTATGTGTAATGAGAGTGTGAGTAATGTGAATGTCTAAGTTGTGGGATAAAATTGAGGCAGAGGCAGCCAGAAGGGGACAGAGGGGGGGGGGGGGGGGGGGGGGGGGGGGTAGCCTCCTCTGCACCCTGGTGACATACCCCTACTCCAAGGCCCTGCATGTGTGGGTGGTTGTGGTGGAGCGGGAAGAGGGAGGCAGCTGGAGATGGGGAGGGAAGGAAGGGAGGGGCAAGTGACCCCTCCCTGGGGCCAGCTCCCCCGCTGACCCCAGTAGGCACCCCCACACTCCGCGACCCGCCAGGGAAAGGGGGCCCAGGCCCAACCAGACCGGGGCCCAGTGCAGCAGTGCCGCCTGGCCCCACAGAGCCCGGGACAGTCCACCCAACCCCACCACAGAGAAAACTTCTTTAGGTATTCTTGAGGAATATTTCTTTTGTTCTTCTTTGGATGTTGGCTGCCTTTTTGTTGTAGCCCTTGTCATGATGACCCCACACTGCTTCCATAATGTTGAAGTGTGGACTCTGGAAAGGTCAATCTGTGGCTGATAATTTCCCATTGTGTATGTGTGTGTGTTTTTTATTCACTGTACTTGCAGTGTGTTTGGGATCATTGTCAAGTTGTAAAACAAATCCGTTGCCAATCAGATCTTTTCTGGGTGGTATTTCATGGCGCACCAAGACCTGTCACTTCTTTTGTCTTCCACTTGCTCAGCTTCCTCAAAATTGACTTTACCATGGTGAGATTAAGCCTTCAGTTATTAGCTCTCTGGGAATCGCCTTGTTGTGGCAAAATATTTTATGTCGGTCTTTGGTATTTTTTCTGCAGATTAAAATAAAGAAATATAAAACAAATTTTGTGCTTTGCCACAAGGTGCTAGTGACAAAATAACTAAAGATACATTTAAAAATTGGTTCTTTCTTAAGTTTACTTTTATGGGTAAACACAAAACTGGGAGTTAGCACACGGTGGTACTGTACACTGGATTTAAAGTAGTCTGGGTACAGCAGAGCTAAAGATAGAATCACATTTTGTGATGTTAGAACAGAGGCCTGATACCATGCTTAGAGTCCTGATTATCATAAAGTATTATAGATACTGTAGCAGTAATGTAATTTATCTCAATGTTTCATTTTTAACAGATATTTTTAGGTCAGTACAGATTATTTTTCCCGCTTTACATTTGCGCATTGCATTTAATTCATTTTAACTTACATAATGCCAGTTCACAAGAACAGATATTAATGAGTTTACAACTTTACAATATTAGAGAAAGAGTCCCAATGATCAAATGTTTCTCTATGAGAAAACACTTGATGGCAGTGGGGAGGAAGAACCCCTTTTTAACCTGAAAAATACCATGGGCCTCGACTGGTTAAGGTAAGAAGTGAAAGAGAAGAGAGAAAAGACGAAAGTATATTAAAATATGATTAAAGTAGTCTGTGAGTCATGAAAAACGAAGTTAAGCGTGTTACTTGTCATCACTTTACTCCAGTTTTCACATTTCTACCGCTATATCTCTGTGTTGAGTTCAAGGGGTTAAGTGAAAGTAGGTAAAACGGTTGTTCAAAGGAATATGACAAAACTTCCTGTCACAGTCTTTCTTCCCTCCCTTATTAACTTTCCATTTGGCAGTAAAGATGTCCTGTGCCTTTAAGAAGCTCCACACCGCTGCTGCGCTTGGCTTTTCTGTTTTTTCCACCGGTGTGTTTCACTATGGCGAAGGCATAAACAAATAGAGCGCTACGCAATGGGCAGCAAAGCCCCAGTTAACGGTGAACACATCTCTCCGTCACGCCACTTCATAAGAGAGTCCTCACGGTCTTAGTTCAGTAGGTTGTGCTTTCGCTTTTTTTTTTTTTTTTTAATATTTGGTGTGGTCATAGTCTCAGATGCTGTCAGTGACAACAGCGATGAAAATAGTTTGCGTGTCCACAGTGAACACCTCAGTTGTAGCAGCAGCCGGTGATACAGGCTAGCCGAGCGTAGCTGCTCGCCCCCGGACGTTTCTTTCGCGTTTTAACGACTGAACATGGGAAGAGGAGAGCGCTAACGTCGCGACCGTCAGCTCATAACAACACAGATTTTTTTGATCCACTCTGCGAGCTTTAGTCCGCTCCTGCTCTTCAGTTCAGTGCGAGTTGAGCCGTCGTGAAAAATGTTGACAGGATCTAAAACCACGTTCAAAGTGAGACAAATGCTCCCAGACATCAAGGTAAGGTCACAACGCTCCGGCACGGCTTTGTTATTCACTGATACAGGCTTTGGTTTTTTGATCCTTTCATTTGTGACCGCTCGTTTTCCTTCTTCTGTCTTTCTCACACTCACCACGGAGCTTTTCTACACTTGTTTTGGGCTCGCTCCTGCAGCATGTAGCTTCAGTATGAATGGTGCACGCAATTATCGCCTTGATTTATGATTTTTTTAGAGCAGGTTTGACCTCTTTAAGTTGATCTCGCAGTGCTATAACTCATCAGCACTCCTTGCGTGATTAAACACCTCACAGGCCACAGAGCAGGCAGTGTCATCATGCAGGAAACACTGACCGTCATTCACCAAACTGAGCTATAAATGTACAGTCATGTAGTCAGGTTGCAACCAAAAATCTGCAGTCCCTGCTCAGAGGTTCTTCAGGAGTGTTCACCACTCAGAGCTGGAGCTTTGCAGGGGGGAAACGAGCAAAGGCTGCCTCTGCTTCCCTCTGTGGGGATAACAAGGAGATTTATAATTACAGTAAGGGTACATCGTGTCACCATCGTTGGCTGCACACCTAATTAAAGGCCAGTGAAAGGATGGGGAATCTTAATCACCTCTGGGATTCTGGTGTGGGGATTAAATTGTAGCACATAAAGACAAACGGTGCAGATGGTCTTCATCATTAACGTCAGAGAGCTGTGCGGTGAGCGTTTCAGCCTGCTTTTGTTTACTATTAAAGGTCACCTACAGGGGTGTGTCCACAGATTGGGACATGAGGTGGCCACAGGTCCACCCTGAAATATGAATGTGCCAAAAGTGCTGTAGATACGGGCTTTACAGAGGGTTTTATATATAGAAAAAAAGAAATTACCTTTTTTCTATCTATATGACTACATTATTATACTTACCTTATTATGAATCCAGTCCTGTCGGGGCTGTAAAGGGTCTATTTGTTGCAGTTTCTGTTTTAATCCGTTTTCAAAAAACACTTTTTACCTGGATTAATAAAGGACATATAAAAGTCCCTTTGCCCAAAGCTGATTGCAGCTTCTGGCTTGAGATGTGTTTGGGATATGCTAGAATAGGTTATTTCAAATTCTGTATTATGCAGCTTTTTACTTCTACTCCAGTGTGCTTTGGACATAAATAGTGCATTTTGTACTCAGTACCTTTTATTTGAAAGTTTAAGGAAGTTATTATTTTGCAGATTTTTAAAAATATCAATTTACTAGTATATCATTAATTATAGGTAGCTAAAACGACATTAAAGTACTGTACAGATCAGTAATTATGATCCAATGATGTAATTTAGATCATTCTGAATAATGAGTACTTTTACTTTAGGTAATGCATGTTGATCCTGCAGCCTTGAATCACTTTCTTAAAAATACCAGACTTTTACTTGAATAACTCAAGTACAGAGTCCAAATATGTGTTTATCTGCTTTACAAAACACGTTGTGTGTCCACTTTGTGGTGAGAACAGCCATTAATTGTGCAGGGTGTTGCTATATCTCGTGTACAACCAACATGCAAAATGTCATGTAGCCCATAAGCATGTTGTTTATCACAGAATGCTTATTTCCTGTTGCAGTATGACTGTGACTCAAAATTAGCATGTAAACATCTCCAGGTCCGCACTCTTATCAAGCGTTTGAAGCTTGGGGCAGATTAGAGAATGAATGAGTCAGTTTCTTTACGTCATGGTGCTGGAAATATGCTCTTCAATGAAAACTCAAAGGCTTTGCAGTTTAGCATCGTTGGGCTGATGGAGCTGATTAAAGGTTGATCTGATTAAATCTCTAGAATGAGCTTGTTAACATATAATGCCTGGAAATGGCAGAAATGGCAGCAGAATTGCACGTTAAATGGCAGACTTCCTGTTGTGTTCAGATGATGGCTATGTCTTGGAATTTTACTTTTGCACACATGTATGCAAAATACAGCTCTGGGGCTACTTTGTTGAAATTTTGTTGGGGTGCATGAACTATGTAAATTTCCAGCACTTCTGATGCGTGTGCAAAATTTGTGTTTAGGAACTCAAAAATGGGATTTCTTTCTCTCTTTTTTTTTTTTTTTTTTTTTACATGCATAAATAATAAAAAAAACAGAGCAATTCCACCATAATTTATGACTGTCACAAAATCAAAAGCCGCCTCATTTGGGAACCGTTGGTTTTAGTCAACTAGGTCAATTCTCTCCACTGTATTTAGTTCTGGCGAAATATTTTGGCTTCCTGTGGCCCCCTTCCTCCTTCTTTGGTCTCTGTTGATAATTTCCTGGTCACGTGATGTTGTAATGAACAGCTTTGACACAGTAAAGGTGAATTTTTTTGATGCTGTCCCCATTTAGGAGCTCCTGAGGGGGTGGGGATTTGAAGAGGCCGTTGGTTTGATGTGCAGCACAAAGCTGTGCGTACACACAGGCAGTATGAATGCGTCAGGATCCGCCTTTTTCCTTCGGGAACAGACTCTTGGCTGTGTCTTTGTGTTGCCTGTCTCTCCTCGGTTATTTTCAGCAGCCGCAGGGGGAAATGGTAACAGATGCCTGTACTCTGCCCTCAAGCGAGGCTTGCATGTGGAGTCGGGTGGGGAGGTGATGTGCGCTGCACAACATCTGGCTGTCACCATGGAGACAGTGGTTTTGCGGTTCAAGACATTTGAATTTGATTACCTCAGAACGAGACTTTCAGGAATCATCACATCCCCCCCGCCTGAACCCCATGTGCCTGAGATTTAGGAAATTAACGTATCTTAACTTCAGCTTCAATGCTTTTATTCATTTCATACCCTCAGCTCACTACTACTCTGAGTTACTGTAATGTAGAGGCTGTGCAGAGGCCACCCACACACTCTTATGTTTCAGTGCCATGAGCATGTGTTAAGATTGGTTTTAAAAAACTGAATCCAACCTGGGCTCATCTCGGACCAGATGGCTTTGCCGTTTGGACGTTTAATCTTCTTGAATCCTGGTGTGTTGCAAAAGGCAAACAAACCGTAATCACACATGGATTTTCATCAGAATTGAGATTATAAATACTTAACACAACAGTGTGACTTTTGAAACATAATGAATTTAACGTTTAAGAAAAATGAATTAAAACCAAAGTGCTTCCAGAGCACTGAATTAAATATTAATGTCGGTTTTCTTGACTTGTGAGGAGTGAGGTTCGGTTTTAGAGGATAAAAGAGCATCTCTGTGACAAAAATGAACAAAAAAAGACAGATGATAAATAATTGTTTGTTTGTTTTTTCCCCAATTATTTTTTATCTTTTCAATTATCAGCTGCTCCCTTATTTCTGAGGGGTCACCATCGTGGATAGATTTGCATATTCAATTTGGTACTGATTTATCAACATGCACTGGGAGTGCACAGGGCTGGCTTTGTGTCTCCTACTGCAGTCTAAGTGGGATCTTTTGCTTGGGAGGAAAATGTGTTAACCAAAGGGAGTTTGTGACGTCCTAATTTATCAACTAGTGCTGGCGATCTCTGGTATGAAGCTGCACTCAGAAACTGTGCTAATTAGTGCAAATATTAAATTTAAAAGTTGAACCAAGAAGATTGAAAGATGAAAGTCAAGGTCAACTTTATATTTCCAGCACATGTAAAACCAGCGTTAACAAAGATCTCCTGTAATTATTAGTGCAGTTTTTAAGTGCAGCTTCCTGTCTAAGGTTTAATTTGACTTAAAGGCTGAAGAGTAAAAATTAATCTTGAGCAAAGACTTAAATGTAGGAGTAGTTTGTGAATTTCTAAAGTGAATTTAATCATTCCACAGATTTGAAAAAGCTCCCTCACCTCTAGTTTAAAGTCTCAGTTTCAGCTCAGTGAAACAGAAAACAACAGCAGCACTTAAATGCTACAAGGATGCGCAGGCCTGCATCTTGACAGAATAACAGGCATATTCAAGCTTGTTTTGGCTGCGCATTCCCCCTGAGTTCACTCTATCTGCATCTCCCAGCCAGCTTTGAAGCAGTCAGCATGAAAGGCACACACCACAAAGCTCCACAGAATCAAAAATGCCAGAGGACGGATCATCTGAGCGCTATTCAGAGTGGCTTAAGATCTCAGCCCCGATAGAAGTGGGCCAAAGCAGTACAGTCACCCACACCCGCTCCCACGGGGCCCCGGCAACACATTCATCACTAGCCTCTGTGCTGCAGATGCTCCCACGGCTTAAACAGAGCGTAACAATGGGTTCCTCTTAACCCCACAGCAGATTTATGGTCCGGTTAGAAGGGGTATTGATCTGGCATTGGGTGATAATTAACTAGCGGCACCATTCGCTAACGGAGAGGCTTGGCTTGTAGAGGCTCGGTCGTTTGTCTCTTTGACTGTATGGAGTGACTGTGATAATGTCACACACGGGTGGTGAACTGTCACACTTGGATAATGTTCAAGTCCAGCGCTGGTATTTCATTTAAGCCATTTGAGACATTAATCTGCTAGAGAGAGACGAGAGAGTGCTGCAGAGACCAGGCGGAGGACGTGCTGCTGCTGATGGGCACGCTGGCCGCTGCGCATCAGACTTATAACCTTTAAGTCACCGAGTCATCTGTCTAGTGGCCATGCAGCCCTCCCCTCCCTTAAATGAAGAGTGTTGTCAGGGATCCTCTGACAGGAAGTGTAGCGACTGATGACATTTGCTGTCAGATTTCATTCAGAGCTTGTGACAGGGCTGCTTCTGTCGTTTGTTCATGTTTGTCTGGTTTCTATAAACAGATATCTGCACAGAGAGATGTTTTTGGTACTGGAGGCTTTCTGGCTTTGCTTTTAGTCCATGTATTGATTGATCAGTCCATTTGTGTGGGTTTTGCTTGCGTGCAGATAATCCTTCAGTGTGATGAGCCCATGACAAACGTGTTTGCAGAGATTCAGTCATGTAACTAAGAGCTATTGTCTGAGTCATTTTTCCTCTTCTCAGTTATTAATCCATTAGTGTGGATTGATTAATTGATCATTTTTAATTAAAGGTGTGAATGTGAGTGCGAATGGTTGTCTGTCTCTCTTCATTAGCCC